GGCAAGTCTGCGACCCATTCAGCCCGCAACCCTTACCACAGAGGAAGCAGCTCCGGATGCAAAACCAGGGACCTCACAAGAGCCCAGAGAAAAGCAATCCAAACTGGAATGGCGTCGACAGCTCTGGGCATTCTTTCTTCAGCAGGCCCTATCGGCATGACAGCACCGTGCGACGCTGCAGTTGCACACGCGTTGGAGGTGTGCGAGGGTGGGCAGGTCGACCTAGTGCAAGCCGCGGCCTTGGCAAAGCGCATCAAACGGGATGCGGATGCCAAGGTCAACCAGTCGGGCGCGGATGAGCTGCGCCAGTTAAAGTTGTGGACCGCAGAGTGGGTGCATAATGGCGTCACCGATAACATGTTCGAGTGCAACGACCTGCCGCCCTTAGTGGAGCATCCTAGCGTCCTGAATCCCTTGCCGAACGCATTGACTATGGACTTCCGCATGCTCCGCCCAACTGCAGACAGTGTCCAGACAGCCATCAGCATTTCGGCAGCCGTGAAGCAGAGCAACCTGGCATCGGCGCTGTACCAGCAGTGGCGCGATCTGCACAAGCCCATCATGCACAACGATTGCAAGCCGATCTGCGAGGAGGCCAAGAAGCCTCCCACGATACCGCCATGCTGGCAAATCGGCCTGTGCATGTGCGGCAAGAGGGGGCGGAAGACTTCACATGTGAGGGCGTGGTTCTACGCGGCGCTGAAGCAGGCCACCAGGAAGAACACGCTTGGACGGCAGCTGCTGACTCAGAGACAGTTGGTTGTCAAGCTGGTTCCTGACATCGGCGCTGCAGCTCTCGCGTCACCGTGGGACATCGCCGCTGGCGACGAGCACGCGAAGGCGCAGGACGTATGGATGCACACCAGAACCCACTCGTTCAAGCCCTACTGGTCTGGATTCCGCGTCTGCCAGGCCGTCGGGGGAACCAGAGACGGCGCCCCAGAGGAGATCAACCTCGAGGCTGGGTGCACTCGAAATTTGCAGCATCCCCCCCTAACCCCGTGCTTCAAAGCTTTCATACTTAAGCCATGTTTTGAACCACGCAACGGTATGTTAGTTCAGTAGGCGCAACCTCCCCTTCCTCATTCTCCTCTTTCCGTCCTCCCCTCCTCCTTCCGATCTCCACGCCCCCCCCCCCCCCCCCCCTCCCCCGATCTCCACGCCCCCCCCCCCCCCCCCCCCCCCCCCACCACCACCACCACCGCCACCACCTCCCACCCCTGCCCCCCCCCTCCCCCCCCCCCGCGCAGACCTTCCTCGCAACGTCCAAGTTTGCGCACGAGCCTCGCTCAGACGGTCCAGGGGCCCCAGGACCTGACCCCCCCCCCAAAAAAAAAAACGCTCCAAACCACTTCTAAGTGAGCTTCCAGGAGGGAGGGGGGGATGAGGATAGGACCAAGGAGGATGGAGGATTTTGAAGACGACAGGGGGGAGCAAGAAAGGAAGAGGAGGATGCGAACATTGCATTGCGCCACCGCAAGGCAACCACCACCAAATTGCTGGATTGGTCTGCATTTCACGAGCTGGACCCACACCTCAAGTGGGAGATCCACTGGTACCAGATCTTGGAGTGCGATCGGGTCGTGCGCTTTCGCCCAGCCGACATCACGGTAGTTGAATTCAAACCTCCAGCTGCTGCAGGTGCTGCTTCCTGGTGCGGCCGCGGCAGTCGACGGCGGCGAGGGGGTGGACCTCGCGCGCTGAAGGATGGCGACCCCGACGGTAGCGAGGTCGAGGATGTGTCCGACGAGTCCGACGACACCTCCTCGGAGTCGGGCTCCGACAGCGACGGCCGCCTCTCAGGCTCGGGCGACGGCGGCGACCCCGACGACCCGCGTGGCAGCGATTGCGAGGTGCATTGGGGTGGCTCGGTTCTGTTCCTGATCGTTTGCACGGTTGGCCCGCCACCTCCATTATTCGGCGATGGCCGCAGGCCGCAGCCGACGATTGGAAGTGCTAAGCTGGAGCGCAAACGAGGTGGAGGCAGAACCGAGCTGCTGCAATGCTCAGGTGGACTCTGTGGACGCCGCGTCTGCAATCGACGAGCTGGGGGTGGACCTCGGCGCCGATGGCGGCGGTGTTGGCGACGGCGACCGCGGGGGCGAGTTGGGGAGAGACGGTGGAGACTCCTCCAGGGGCCGCGGCCACGGCTGGGACAGGTCGCGTGAGCCCAGCCCTCCTCCTGCGCCGCCTGGGCCTTCTGCAGACCCTGATGAGCCTCCTCTGCCGCCACCTCCAGTGCCTCCGCCGCCTGCACCGCCGCCCGAGGTTTCTGAGCGTCGTTCGCTCGTCGAAGGGGCGGGTCGGGACAGGGCAGAAGTAGCGTGCACGTTTGCGGACGGTGAAACTGTTTGGTACAAGCACCGCCGCTTTGAGGCAAATTGTAGGGCGTGCCCGAAATCAGCATCGGGCAAGCCGTGCAAACTTTCGAGGGCCTCGTGCGAGGGCGCCGCCAGACCTCAGGGGCGCCCATTAGGTTTGCTAGCAGCCTGGCTCGAGGCTGGCCCGCAGTGCGTCAGAGATGGGACAGACCACAAAGACAGGTTGTTTGTGAAGCACTGCTTTCCTAAGATGACGCGCAAGGCTGCGCGCAGCAGGCTTTGCGAATTTGGCGGCGCTGCTGCTGAGGCGGCGGCGCTGCTGCTGAGGCCCTAACGGGGCAAGGAGCGGGGCCCTCGGCTCGGGGAAGAGTCGGAGCCCGAAGGAACTCAGTGAAAAAAACAAGCGGCGCTGGGGAGGCGAGAGGGCAGGGAGGAGAAGACAGAGGAGGGGGAGGGGCAGTCGAGCGCGGAGGTGCGGGGTGGGGTGGGGTGGGGTGGGGTGGGGGCGGGGTGGGTGGTGTCTGTGTGTGTGTGTGTGTGTGTGTGTGTGTGTGTGTGTGTGTGTGTGTGTGTGTGTGTGTGTGTGTGTGTGTGTGTGTGTGTGTGTGTGTGTGTGTGTGTGTGTGTGTGTGTGTGTGTGTGTGTGTGTGTGTGCGTGTGCGTGCGTGCGTGCGTGCGTGCGTGCGTGCGTGCGTGCGTGCGTGCGTGCGTGCGTGCGTGCGTGCGTGCGTGCGTGCGTGCGTGCGTGCGTGCTGCGTGCGTGCGTGCGTGCGTGTGTGCGTGTGCGTGTGGTGTGTGTGTGTGTGTGTGTGTGTGTGTGTGTGTGTGTGTGTGTGTGTGGTGTGTGTGTGTGGTGTGTGTGTGTGTGTGTGTGTGTGTGTGTGTGTGTGTGTGTGTGTGTGTGTGTGTGTGTGTGTGTGTGTGTGTGTGTGTGTGTGTGTGTGTGTGTGTGTTGTGTGTGTGTGGTGTGTGTGTGTGTGTGTGTGTGTGTGTGTGTGTGTGTGTGTGTGGGTGTGTGTGTGTGTGTGTGTGTGTGTGTGTGTGTGGGTGGGGGGGGGGGGGGGGGGGGGGGTTGGGGGGGGGGGGAGGGGCTGGAGAGGGGGCGCGGGGGAAATGGAATGATGGGGAGAAGGGGTGGGGGGGGGGGGGGGGGGGTGGGGGAGCTGGCAGCTGGCATGGCCCCCAGCCCGAGAGCTCGCACCTGCAGCCAGCAGGGCTCACAGCCCGAGGGCTCCAGGGATCACTCGGCAGACCCCAGGCCCGCTCAGGAGTGCTCCTGGGGGCACTCCCTCCACCCTGGGAATTCCTGGGGGTGCTTGTTTGAATGCTTTTCTGGTGCTTTTTGAATGCTTTTGGGGTGCCTGAGTGGTCACAGGAGTGGTTCGGGAAACCAGGGGCACTCCGAGAGTGCCCATAGGGGCACTTTGCACCAACTGGGGGCAGCCCGACAGTGCTCCCAGGAGTGCTCTCCAGGAGCCCTGGGGTGGGGGGGAGTGCTCTGGGGGGCGCTTTCCAGGAGCCCTGGGGGGGGGGGGGCTCTGGGGAGTGCTTTTGGAATGCTTTTGGAGTGCTCTGGCCCTGGGGGGGGGGGTCCCTGAGTGCCCTGGGATTGCTTTTTTTTTAAACTGCTTGTTGAATGCTTTTGGAGTGCTCTGGCCGTGGGATGGGGTGCCAGGAATGCCCTGGGAATGCTTTTTGAATGCTTCTGGAGTGCTTTTGGAATGCTTTTCGGACCCTGACGCCCTGGGATGGCACCGAATGCACCTGGGAATGGGTCCAGGTTCCTCACCGCGGAGGGCTGCTGCAGGCCCCTGCCAGTGGAGGGCCATGCCCCTGTGAAGGAGCTCCAGGATCCCGAGGGCGCGCGCCTTTCGGGCCGAGAGAGCTTCTGCGCTTGGCCAGGTGGTTGAAGGGTTGGCAGCGCTTCCCACCTGAGGCTGGATGGCGGCCGAGCTGCTCGCAGCCTCAAGTGGGATGGCGCCAGCTCTTCGACCCTCTCGGAACTTCGCAGGCAGCGGGGTCGAACGATATGACTAACCTATTTGGGGTAGCGCAGCCCGTTCGGGCCCAGGTTACGAAGACTTCCCATGTAGAACACGCGTTTGCAGCCAGAACCATGGTCACATCAACGCAGCGAGCACTGCAATCCCCCCCCCCCCCACACACACACACACACACACACACACACACACACACACACACACACACACACACACACACACACACACACACACACACACACACACACACACACACACACACACACACACACATACACACACACACACACACACACACACACACACACACACACACACACAACAACGTGCATCATAAGAACGCGTCGCAACTCCGTCCGCTACCAAATCCGTGGGGGATGTGTCATGACGTATTCCTGTTGCTGCTCGTGCTGCTGCTTCTCCTTATCGATAGTCGTCCGCCTCTCCAGCCTTCTTTCGCCCTGCGGGCGTCAAGAGGCCCCCAAGGGGGCCGCGCCGTGTCAAGGGAAAACAGAACAAAGTCTGCACTTGAACGAGGCCCCTGGCTCCTCCTGGCGCGGGGCACGGGGGGGTGTAAGAGTGGCCGTGCTCTGATGTTTGCCGACCGCAGTCTTTGTGGCTCAAGTGATCTAAGACACCAACACCAGAGACCCTGAGGGCCCGAGTACCTCGATAGATCATGGGCGGGAAGCGGTCAGCATCCGAGGTCAGCTCCTCTGTACCAAAGGGGAAGACGAAACGGCTAGCACGCAAGTCTGCCGAGCTGCCCTCCCTGCGGGAGCAGCAGGAGTACGACGGGGGCCAGTGCTGCATCTGCCGCGCACACGTCGACCAGGACCGAAAGGGAAGGAACAACGAATGGAGGATACCGGAGGAAGGGTGACGGGGGAGGGAGGAGGAGGGGGGAGAAAGACATCTCCTCGCCATCCGCCGTCTTGGAAGACGGATTGCGAGGATAAATGGAGAAGTAGGAGAGGGTTAATCGAAGCCCTGTTGGCATTGTTTCTCTTGGGGCCCTGTATCCCTTGGGGCCCGTGCCGTCCTCTTGATCATCGGTTGCTCTTGTATGTGCTACTTCCCCTTGCCCACATCAATCCGCAGGCAGACAGGGGCTTCGTTGTCTTTTCCGACGGCGGCCTGGAGATACCCATGTGCTGCGACGATGCGGGCGCGCACTGCGACTGCTTCAGCTACACCCCAGCGGCGTCACTCCCTGCCGCGCCGAGGAACGACGAAGACGGCATCCAGGAGAAGTGGAACTTTGCCAAGCGCAATCGGGCAAAACCCTCCGCTGAGAGGGACCCCATCACTGTGGCGACCGTGATCAAGAACGATACTCAGGACATCCGCGTCTATCGGAAGTGGCTCGCAATGAATGAAACTGAATATTCCAACGTGTTCGGGAAGAGGCCTTTGGTGAAGGATACTTCGAAGCTGCCCAAGCTCAACGTGCCGTGCGAGGCGGACCCGAGAGTGAAGGAGACGGTGTTCCTCTTCGCCTGGGAGCCGAACGGCCCTCTTCGCACGGTGGAGACAAGCAGCACCGTGGGCCCCGCGATGGAGACGGTCATGCTGGACCCTGCATGCTGCTACTACAAGGGGCAGGGGAAGGACTTCGACAAGTGGTCGGTGGACACAGACAAGAGGCTCGCGGGCGACGAGCTTGGGCACGTGATGAACTCGAAGTGCCCCACCATTCTCGAGATGGGCGCGCAGCTGGGCGCCCCAGAGCTGAGCGATCATTCTGCAGCCTGCCACGGTAGTCACACTGCCGCCGCGTCTAGCGGCAGCGGTGGCTTTTGCCCAGCCCGACGACACTGGCGGCCACCAGCCCTTTTGGAAGCACTCCTCCACTCCAGGGCTCCTTCTCGGAGGAGGGGTCGACGTTGGGCGACAAGTCGCGCGCGGTTCTGCCGCGCGGAGCTCGGATCAGAGGAAAGAGCAGTGTCGTCGGGGGGGCGGTCTGCCGCCGACCTCGAAAAGTGCGTGAAGGAACAGTCTGTGGTCGGAGATGGCCTGGGGGAGTCCGCGAGCCAGGTTGGCGGCGACGCCGATCAAGGCGACCAGGCAGACGTGTACATCAAGAAGCTGAACCTCGAGGTTGCTCTGAGAAAGGGGAAGGATGGGGTTGCGTTCCATCACGCAGGCCTTCGCGTCAAGAGTTGGAGCGCCAAGCCCGATACGAAGGAGATGGCGGAGAAGCTTCATACGCAAATGAAGGACTACGTGCTTGCAGCATCACTCAAGCCGGATCCAATAGAACGCCTTCCACCCGACCAGCTGCAGAAAGCATGCGACAGGGTGGAATCACTCATGACGATCCCGACCGCCGTCCAACTAGACACCTGGGGTTATGATGCGACGTCCAGGCGCACGAAGGTCACATTCCCAGTGGACGTGCCGAAGTTCTTGGCGCACTGCTGGCCATGGCCGATTCGTTGCAAGATCGACAGCGGCATGATCGACCCCAGGACCGGTGAGTTCGACCCGCTCGAGCCACGCCTCATGCTCGTCGGCGGGGAGTTTCCCGTCAAGCTTGAGAAGTTCAGGGTGCACTTCATCAGGAGCGTTCTGGGTGAGTTCATGGGCAAGGGCAGCAACGGCAAGGACTTCGTGCGCGCCACATGCAAGCACATGCACGACTGGGCTGAGTCGACAATGGAGCAATGCAACGACCTGGGTGACACGTCTGCCTTCCTTTGCGAGATCACGACGGTTGCCGGCACAATCGACGCCCTCTTCGACATGGAGAAGCTCCTCGACGGCGACGCTGGCGAGAATGCGATGAACGACCTCAAGGAGATCAGCGACGCAGAGCACAAGTCCAGCGTGATCAAATCGGTGGCCCTCGCGGTCGCAAACGTAGACTTCTACCGTGACCTTCTCGCCACTGCCATGACCAACGCTGCGAAGATCAACGATGCTCGGCCCAAGTACGTGGACATCAGCACCGACATTGACGCGAAGATGCAGCTTGGCCCCAACGAGCTTGCATCCGGTGTCGAGGAGATCCTCAAGATGTTCCCAGCGGTCATCTTCGCTGTCCCAGGTCAGTGCGTCAAACGGCTGTGCGACAAGACCATGAGCATCATCTGCCAAGTTGTCGGTATAGCCGAGGCCGAGGGTGAGGGCGAACGCGGGCAGGAACTAGTTCAGGGGGCGCTGTCAGTATTGAAACT